GCGCACCTGCAGCCGCGGCGGGCAACGAGATGGCGGCGGCGCCGGCCCGGTGGGCTGCCCCCTCGGTGGACGGGCACCGGCCTTGGCCTCCGCTCTTCGGCCCTAGAGGTCTCCGGTAGCCCGGCGGTACCGGCCGGTGCTGCGCTCATACCCCCCCCCCCGTCCTGCTCCCCCGTCCCCAGAGGCAGGCCCGTCCTGCTGCCGTCGTACCGAGCAGAAATACGTAAATGCGTAAAAATAGACCGTCACAGGTATGTTTATAGCTTGCGTCATCCTTTAAAATCCGTACCTGCACCTTCTTTGATCCCAGAAAGCTGCTTCCATCGCTTCGGTGCTATTTTCTAGGGCTTAACGGCCGCGGATACTTTACTTTTTATAGAGGCGTTATTGTGAAACATAGATGAATTGTTCCCGGCTAGTCACATAAATAGCAACAATTTAGTACCTTTTACAACCAGCTAGGAAAACATTTATACCCAGAGCGTTCCCAGCCCGCTTGATGAAGAAGCAGAGACAAAATGTCAAGCGATCCTGTCTAAAAGCCGTAGGCCTGAATCTCTCGTGCTGTAAATTGAAACGCTGCCTTTTAATCCAAAGGAATTACACCGGTTTACTACAAGAGGGAATAGGGCTGGAGAATTTTAAATGCGACCGTAGTCGCACAACATTCAGGAAATTCCTAATTTTCTGTTGGAAAGGAAGGAACAAGTCTCTTTCAGCCGTCGTCTCTGTGAAATGACAGGCGGTTGTCTGAGGCAGCCTGGCTTCTGCTGCTCAGTGAGACGTTCAGAGCCTACGTGCGAGAGTGATTCATCTCTGCGCTTCTTAGTTGAGATAACAGCATCGCAAACCCGGCTGTTAAGGTTAACCTGTACGCCGCGTAAGGACAACAGATGGAAATTCTGGTTAAGAGCCGCTGCAAAAAATAAAAACATGTTCCAAAGGGAAAAGGAGCTTGTATTTCTGTGTTTGAACCTTTGATCTTCGTTCACATCTGAAGGGAAGAGTAGACCTTTTGCTGAAGACACATGGTTTTGCATCTGTGAAAACACAGCTGTATAGAGCAAAACAAAACTGGTGCAAAACACAATGGTTTTGCTGTGTCAGTTTAGCTGTTGGCGTTAAAATGCTTTAGAAATAGCGGGGGTTTTGAAGAACCTTTCAGAAAGTCTCTGTCTTTACACAATTGTTTGTTGAGATTTTACTTGGTGGTTTTTAAAGTTCGTCCGTGATCAAGAGACAGCTGCTACCTAAATATTTAAAGCGAACTCATGGGAAAGTCTGGCATTCCTTCCCTCAACAATCCTGTCTTAACAGTTTTCTAAAAAACTATAAATGAAAGCATCAAAATTTACAGGAAAACCCACACTGGCAAAATAACCTTGATTCAGAGAAAAAATAATCCATATATTGTTAATGCCGTAATTCTTAATGGTGTATGCGCGATATACAGCCATTTCACGATAACACACTGCCTTTCCGGAGTTGCCCCTGAAAGTAAAGGGACATCACCCGGTGTCCTCAGTCGCGTCGTTTTGCATCTGAGCATGATGGCAAAGCTGCTCTCCGACGCCTGCCTGGCGTCTCCTGCCTCCCCGCATTTGCAGTGACACACCGCTGTCCCAGCAGTGTCCCCAGCAGCCCCGCTGCCTCACTGTGTAGCCCAGCACCTACCTGTCCCCCCCAGTGCCTACCTGTGCGTCCCCCCCCCAGCACCGCCACTCGCTCGCTTGTGTCAGGAGCCTGGCAGCGGTGTTCGTTTTCCGCCTTAAATCCCTACTCACTCCGGTTGGCTTATTACGAAAGATAAAAGAGAGGAGCTAGGAAGGAGGAAGGCTAAATGTGCAAATGCCAAATTTTTTCATTAAATAGAAAGAAATATTCTCCTATTTCTTAACCACCCGATTCCTTTTTGGGCAGGGAGGGAACCTAACTCCGTTTTTTAATTCTTGACCTCAGCACAACAGTGCTTTGCTCTTAAAATTTATCTATCCTGGAGCCTTACAATCAAATTTTAAATGTGTTTGGGTTCCTAAACATGCAGCTGGTGCTTAATGAGATTTTCAAAAGAGCATAAGCGGGTTAGACATCCTACCGTCCATTGGAATCGGTGGGATTTAGGTACCTATCTTGCTCATTTGCTTTTGAAAAATCCTGCCGAGTGCCTGTCTGTATCTTCAGTTGCCCTGGAAAATCTGGTCCCCATCTATCCCCGTGACCCCCCCCCCGTTCCCATCAATATTTGTCTCCCGTCTCTGTCTCCCTCACTCTGGCCTGTATTGATGCCGGAGTCTCCTCCTTTGTAGTTCCTAACACCAGGGACATCCCTCTCCTTTCTCTCTACCAAACTGGCTCTTCAGCTGGTTAAAGGCTCAGTTGAGCAGCTATGAGTGTGCCCAGATTTTTCACATTAGTTTCCCCTCTCCTCCTAATGATTTTTAATTCTTTCTTGGTGTTGTTTTGACCGCGTAGAGCACTTGGGGTTAAAAGACTCGGTGCAAACGGGTGTGAATATGAGGGGAGCGCCCTGTTACGTCTCTCTGTTAGGTTTTGTGTGTCTAGGCTGAACGTGAGGAGATGGGGAATTAATTTCCCGATCAGCCTGTCTCTCCCCATCCCCTGGAACGGTACAGTGGTCAATGGGGTTTTGTATTTAAAGTTGAGAAAAGTAGAATTTTAATTTCTGGCTCGACCACGGATAGGGGTGACTCGCCGGGTCTCCTTATGCAAGCAGTTCCCCATCTGTAAAATGGATACCCGGGTCTCCGTTTGCATGGGTAGGGAGCACGGGTAATTAATTAGCGTTTGTGCAGCCCTTTGAAAATCCTCAGACAGAAGGTGCTAGAAGGTGCTGTGGGTTGGCCTGGGGCTGAAGAGGCTCACCCGGGAACCCGGCCACCCTCGGAGGCCCACGGGGCGAGGACACGAGCTGTGGATGCAGAGAGCTGCCGGCCAATTCCTTTGCCAGAGATATTTGCTGTTTTCTTCAGGGGAAAACAAATTGGAAAGGGAGTTATCAGCGCGCACGCCTCCCTCGCTGCGCGTTGCCTCCTCCTTTCCCCAGGAATAACAACAGCTTCATTAGCAAGCTGACAAAAAAAAAAAAAAAAACCACCAAAAACGAGAGTATTGAAATATTAATAATAATAATAGTCCCGGTAACAGAGAGACAACAACTCTCTTCTGTGCCTCATGCAGAAAGTTTCCTCTTTGAAGTGGCTGCTTCCCTCCTCGCCCCGCCGGGAGGGAAAAGGGGGAACAATTGTGGAGATCTAAAGCCAGCCAGGAATGCTGAGCTGATGGCTTTCCTGCCTGCCCCCTGCCCGCACCCCTGCCTGCCCATAGCCTTGCCTGTCCCCCCCATTGCCTGAATCCTCGCCCGCACCCTTACACACATCCCTGCCTGCCCCCCTGCCCAAATCCCTGCCTGTCCCCATCCACATCGCTGCCCATACCCCTGCCCGTCGGGATTTGGGGGGCTCTCCGCCCCAGGGTTGCATTTTGCAGAGGGGTCGGTGGGTGTCACTCGAGCCCCTGCTTTCCACGCTGCCCCTCCTGGGGTGGGTGAGGGGGTGGGGGGTTTACCCTCCAGGGGTGAAGACCCCCCCGCTACCCCACGTCGTGTCCAAAAAAGAGACGTTTCCATATAGACGCATCAAGCGTGGGTGTTAAGGGGTTGGGTGGTTTGGGGGAGTTTTACCGAGGGGGTTGTCGAGTTTTTTTCCCCGCGTGGGGAGGGGACCCCCCCACCCCACCACACACACACACTCCTTTTCCTGAGCGTGGCGGCCCCCCCCAAACTTGGGCTGCAAAACCCAAAACCAGCTGCCTGGAAAGGGCGAGATTCCCGTTACACTCCTTTAGCAACTATAGAAATGCCACCGGTAACAGCAAAAAAGGGATTTCCCCCCCCCTGGAAGTGCGGTTGTGTAGGTGTGTAGGTGTCTGCCTGCCATCGGCAGCGAGGGCAAGAAATATTGACATTTGACTGAAGATCATCAATGAACATGAGCGAGGGAACCGCTTGCCTGGCTTTGACCAGTGAGTGAGAAGGCTATAAATGGATATTTGCTCTAGTAAAAATTTGTTCTTTTAAAAAATATACACTTGAACCTTTTTTTTCCCATGAAGTTTCTTGCCTATCTCATGGGTACGGTTTCTTCCCCGTCCAGGATTATTTCCCTGGAGGATTATGATTTCTCCCTCTCGTTTTCCTTAAAAAAACAAACCAAACCAAAACCAAAACAAAAAAACCCCCAAAGATAAATACTTTTCAACATCTTCCAATGTTATGGGCTATCCACATTTTGCAATGTATTCCCAGTAATTTGCAACTTTTGAAAGCCAGGCATTGTTTCTCTCAACTTATTGAAATGCACAGATATGTTAAATAAGGGAGGGGGAACCCCAACCCCAATGACTTCTGTTTCGCTGCATATGCAAAGAGAGGGCAGCTTGACTCTTCCCTTGGCATTTGTTAGTCACATCCTCCTGGCCATTGTTTTGCTGTTTGTGCTGGGAATCCAATTTATTTAATGGTAAAGAGCCCAGGGTGGGTTTGGTTTTTTTTGTATTCCACTCATTCTGAGCTGATCTGAGAAAGCAGAAAAAAAATATTAGCCATGCCAAGGGGCAGCTCCCAAAGGGAGCTCCGTTCGCCTTATGGGAGGGATGACGGTGTCCCAAGTGACCGGATAGGGAATATACAGCGCTGTTACACTTTCTAAGTAATTTTTGGTTGTATATTTAATTTTTGAAGGTCTTAAAACCCATCCGGTGGGGAGGTGGAGAAAACTTGTCCGTTATTTCAGATGCTGGGCTGCACATACAGTACTTATCTCCTTTTTGTAAGCCTTAGGAGGTGGTCCCCCGGCTGCTGTAGGCTGCCTATATCTTGAAAACCCTACCCCAAGTCCCCCTGAAAAGCTGTTTATAGCAACAGGCCTATTTCCAATGTCAAGGGCGGGGGGGGGACAGGGGACATCGTTTTCAAATTAGGAGATTATTTCTTTTAGGGAAACAGAAACAAATAGGCTCCTTGTGAGAAAGGTGTGAGCTGCCTAAATTGAGAAACTGTCCCGCCTTTGAAAGCTCCCAAGTCCCACAACGATTTTATTAAAAAGGACATCAAGGACCAAATTTCTGATGTTGTTATGGCAACAGAAATAGTTGGGTGGCAATGTGGGTATCCAGAACGTCAAGATTGTAAGAAACCAGCAAAATAAGCACCGTGTTGTATTTGGAAAAACAAATTGAACGGTGGTGGCCAAGTCTTATACTTCTTTCATTCAGTGCAATCCCCATTTTCATCTGTCCAGCCACGCCGACGGCGCCTTAACGAAGGTGCCAGCAAGGCATTGCAATATTTATTGCCCTTAAACGCGACCTGAGATTTCAGTTTGTTATTTTTGCCGTTGACATACTGGAAGAAGGATGTTTCCTTCTGTTTTATACTAACTCCTTCTTCAGTGCCTCCAACTTTTTTTTTTTTTTTTTTGCTGCCTTTCTCTAGCGACACGTGCTCCAATCCCTTTTTGTCCCTGCACTCCCTACCTCCTCTGCCGCAGGACCATCGGCAATCCCCCCATAAAACCAGCTGAACGTGCCCCTCTTAAACCTCTGCGATATTAAAATTTCACCACAGCTTTCATTTCGCTTTAGTTGAGGGAGCCCTGAAACCGCAGCCCCATCTCCCCTAGTTTAGAAACAGCCAAAGTATTTGGGAAGCTCGCAGGTCCCTACTGTAACACGCTTCAGGGACCTTTTGTACAGCAGCCGAATGGGATGAATTTGCCAAGTTTCAAATTTCAGGGGCAGGCAAGACATTTGTAAGTCGGTGTTTTTGTTATTCTGGAAAAGTTCTTTGATTTGCAGGCTTTTTTTTTTTCTTTTTTTTTACCTTACTTTTAATAAAAAGGAGATGGAGTGTGACATTAAGCAATTTTACAGCATTAGCAGCTTTAGGCTGTAAACAAAGACAAACGAATCCCGCTTACTTTCAGTCTTAGAAGTTTGCTGTCACTTGTTCCTAAACTGGGGACTCGATCCTACGGGACGTTATTCAAGCAAAACACGGCTTGAAGTCTCCGAGAGTTGTGCCTGAGTAAGTACCCTGGAATCAGCCCCTCTGCCTGCTGAAAAAGAGAAGTGTTGGTTATCTCCTTTTAAAGATGTTTTCTGCGGCTGCACACTTCATTCATCCTAACGTTTTTGGTTTGCTTTGAGAGTGCCTTGCTAAGACAGCGTTCTTGATGCAGAAGCTGGAGAGCGAAAGGGAAATCAATGGTTTTTGAGTAAGGCTGGGGTTTTTTTCTTTGTTAGATTTTTTTTTTTTTTACTTTAAAAAAAGTCTCCTCCTCCTAATAAAACAAACCAAAAAACCTTTTATCAAAGCATCTGATTTTAATTTGATGTGATTTTTGTTTTGAGGTTCCTGAAAAAATTAAAACATATTCCCCCAACGTTTCGAGCTTCAATTTTCAGCATTTTACAGTGTAAGATTATTTGACATTATTTAATTGGACATGAGGGTGTAATACAGGAATTTCCGTTATGTGATGGATTAATTGTTTTCCTAATACTTTAAAGGCTGAGATCCAAACATTTTTCCATTCTATTGCAAAATTAACTGCAATAAATCTGTCAGACCCAATTATTCATTTAAAACATTCCACACTGATTAAATCTGCACATTTGCCTGCGTGCAAGTGCGAGCGAGGGAGAGGAGGTGTGCGCGGAGGGGGGGAGTCCAGGTTTACTCCCTCTCCTTCTCAAAACAGCGGCGGTGTTAGAAACGAGTCCTTTAAATTTAACCTGGAAAATGTGATTAGCTAAATAGTCTAACAAGAGGATGAAGCGTACGTGGACGCCCGTCCCTGAGCCTCCCTGCCGTCCCTCCTCCTCGCTGCCAGGTCCGGACAGGCAGAAGCGTCACGTTTGGACGTTTGATGCTATTCGAAAAGATCGTATTTTACTTCTGGCGGGGGGGGGGGGGGGGGTTTTTTGGGGGTTTTTTTTTTTTTTCTTTAGTTTGTTGATGTTTTCAAAGTCTCTAAACAAAGTCAGATGTGTTAACAGTCTTATTAACAATGTTAAAATGGAATTAACAGCTTGTGGATACCTCTGGAGTACAATAGCATGTCAGCCTACCCTGCCCCCTTATAAATCGCGTCCCGCTGTCTTTCTTTTGTTTCGTGCCCAATCAGCAAACTAAAGTTTTGTTGAGGCAGAAGGGCAGTTCAAGTGTTCCTGCTCCAGCGGAGGGAGGAGCGGCGGTGGGGTTTCTCCATGGCCCCGGCGAGGCCCCCGCGCGAGCGGGGAATGGGACCGACCCCCAAACTTGCACGCAGGGCTTTGCTGACCTGCCTGCCTCCCTGACCTCTGCCGTGCTGTTTTGTCAGTTTAAAAGGCTTTGCCGAGGTTGTAGTTTACTTTTATGGGCCTTTCAGCGCCGCTACAAAAGCTTTTGTTTATTTAAGATGTAGCGCGGTTCAGATTTCTATTAATCTTCATATAACTTCGGTGGCTTCGCCGCTTCTGTAAAGGTTCGTTGCCGAAATGGTGCCGTGCCTGGTCTTAGGCAGCCAACGTCGGCTGGGTAATTACAGCGAGTTTGGGGTATTTCAGAAATGATTTGCCTCCGAGAGTGGAAATTAGCACCGACACATGCTGTTGTTTAACTCGATTTCACCATAATTTGGGTTCTGTGCTAAGGAAAGGCTTTTCTTTTACCTTTTACTCCCTCAAGTTTACTTCTTGCAGTCGAACTCTTTAGAAACGTCGCCCAGCCGATTTCAGCATTAAATGCAAAGTGAACATTTAATGAGATCTAATTTTTTTTCGTGTGGCTAGAATCACCCCGGGTTAATTTGCATAGAAAATTTATGTAAAACGAGAAGCATTCCCCATAAGGAAAGCACTTACATGTTTTTGCTTTATGGTGATTATATTTTTACTCCTTTCATCCAACAGTCTTGAAGTATTTACAGTTCCTCCTGGAAGTGCATAGCACTGCCAGGCAGACACGCATTTCATGCCCTTTTATTGCTTGAAAACCTGCAAGACGCAGGCAGGTTGCGGTTTGCCCAAGGACTGCAAAACAGTCGCAAGCCCAAAATAGAGAAAACCATCCCTTTTGTAGGAGGGCACAGGCTCCGCGTGCTCCTGGCCGGCCCCGCATGCTGCCCGTCCCATCCCGCTCCGGCTCCCCGGCCCCGCAGCCGCCCGCCGGACACGGAAAGCGCCCGCTGGAGGTGCGCCTGCCCACGGTGATGCTCTGAAACGGGCATTCTCCATGTCCAAAACCCGCTATCCGGAGCAACGCTTTTGTCTCTGGCAGCCCCACGTGCCATGCCCTCTCCGAAATAATTTGGCCGAGCTGGGCTACGCTCTTCCCCCCCCCGCCGTTTTCCTCGTGCTCCCCAGCGCTGGCTCCCGTTGCATCCCTATGTGCATCCCACAGCCCAAGGTGCTTTGCTTTTGCTTTCCGTGGAGGTAACAGAGGGATGTTGGGTTTCCAGCATCGGAGCCGCGGCCGGACCGCCTGCCCCGCCACAGCACCAGGTCCCGCTTCCCTGGGTCCCCTCCAGTGTGCGCTCCTCTCTCAATCCCCAGCCTAAAACCCTGCCGCTCTCCCTTCCCTTCAGTTTACACAGCTGTTCCGTAAGCGGAGAAGCAGATACCGAACGCAGTGCAAACCGATCAGTAGCCCGTAGGCCGTTTGACTTCACTCCGGCGCACGCCGAGCACGGCTCGCCCTCCCCACAGCAGCACAACGTGAAAACGTTTCCCCTTTCTGGGGATCGTGTCCCCGAGAAGGTGTGTGGTGATGAGGATTAAGTTCGATTCATTATTTTCTTACCTAACTGGTACAAAACCTCTCTCACCGGGAAACTTGTACCGGTTTTGCACGTATGAAAAACAGTATCTAGTCTTAATAATGAAGGAACCAGGGTGATAAAGACGAAATTATAGAGGGATAAAATGTATGTTATTAATAGCGTAGCTCACTTTACCATGTTGTGAAAATATTACATTTAAGAGGCCATCCAATAATATTCTAGTAATTCAGCCTATTTTAAATGCTCTGTGCCTATTTTTACACTACAAAGGTTTTATATCACTTCGAAAATCTACAGATAAAAAGATACATTTTCATCTTATTTTAAAGCTTACAAAACTGATAGACAAAGAAAAATTTGTGACTAGGTGCTGATTTATTTCTAGAGAAAAAAATAGATTCCCATTTTTGGGAAGCGTATTCATTTTTATGCAACATCTGGTGAGAACAAACACCTCTTTTGTCTGACTACTAGGAAATTCATAAACAGATGTAGTGTATGCCGAGAAGTATTTTTTGTTGATGGAAAACGTGAATTACAATTATGTCAATACTTTGCGTTCGTTGTCATCTTCCAGAAGTAGAGCGTCTCAAAGTGCCTCAGATAAGCCGTTTTCCCAGGGAGGGTGCGTAGGGATGCCGAGGCCACCTCCGCCGGTCGCCCTCCACACCCCGGTGCTGCGCTCGCCATCGGCAGTCCCCATCACCTGGGACGTAGCCTGCCCGTCAATTCCACGTACAGCACTTCTGTTATTATTCCTATAGACCTCGTTTATTTTAGCAGCGGATCGACGGCAGCAGAGGAGCCCGCGCGCAGCGTCTCGAGGAGCGCGGAGTAGCGGGGCAGTCCTCGCCGGCTTACCTTTACGGGTCCCCGGAGCCCAACCGTCGGAGGTGCTGAGACCTTCCCGGCCGAGCGGCTTCGGTGGAGCGGCGGCTGCCTGCCGCTTGCCAGCTTCAGGCCCTGACGTGGTTTTGTTTTACAGAGGCTTGCTCTCGTGCGCGTGTTTTCCAGATTCCTTGACCTGCGCTTTCATTTCTGTGGTTATGCAGAGTTCATGTTCCTGCTAGATATCTACTGAAAGAAGATTGAAGAATGATCTCATTTTCCCCTTTTTATTTCTATACTTTATAATTCGTAGCAAATTCCTAGAAAAAAATTGTATTTCTTGGAAAATAGTGCGGTCTGTTTACTTTTTAACGTATGGCAGTTTTCTGTATGGAGCTATGTGGAAGTTCATTACATGTATCACATTTTTGGTGAGCTCTCGGTAATGCCCGCAGGTGTTGCATGAGTTTTCTCAAAGGAGAGCCCCACAAACTACACAACAAATTAAAAAAAAGGGAAGAATAAGCAAGCTTAGTGCCTCTGATTTAAAAGCAATTTTAAGTGAGAGAATATATTACCTATTTGCTCATCCATTTGGTTCCAAATAATTCTCCTACAAAAACATCCAGCGGAAATTGAAGCATAAGAGCAGAGCAGAGCCAAAGAAGTGTTACATTATGAATCCAGCAAAATGTACGCACATATTCCATATTACAAATGCAAAGAGATCTATTGAAGGTAAAATCAAGATACCGGAAAAAATCTTTCCAGGATTAGGCCATGACACAAGTGTCTCTATTTGAAAGAAGCTATGCTATTATACAGTGTGATGCTGTCTTTTATTTAAGTCTAAAACTAGTAACTTGTACTTTTTGGACATATCTCCCGCTGACATGTCTGGGGAGCTTCTTCCAGCTGCTGGAGGTAGGCAGGGTGAGAAGGAGGACTCAGTTTTAGTGAAGAGTGGCAATGTGAGAGAGGCGGTGGTCACTCATTGACTGGAGGGGCAGATTCAGTCCCCTTGGAGAAGCCCATTTCCCAAGACCTCGGAAAAGTCCCACGGATGTCCATGGCAATCTTTCCATTGCCCCAACCTGCAGGAAAAGCGAGCGTGTGGCTTTGGGGCAGGAAGAGGCAGCGTGGCTTTGACAGGCGCTGATTTGGGGGGTTCCGTTCCTTCGGGTGAGCTGCATTTGGGCTGGGCCAGCGTGGGGGTTGGGGTACGTGCCGAGGGCCGAAGTCACCGAGGACGGAATGTCCCATCTTTCCTGCAGAGCAAAAAGAGGCGCCTCGACACAGAAAGCACCGTCCTGAGCACGGGGGGGGACACAAAGACGTTTGAGAACCAGACGGCGTCCGCGCATCCACCCACCTGGTGCTCAGCCGGGTGGAGGGGGGCACTCGGACCAAACTTAAAAACTCCTGGGGACTTCGCCAGGGTATTCCTGGGGTTAACCTCTAAACTTAAACCCCACCTGGCTAAGTTTTTCCGAGGCAAATAGAATATTTGTTCATATTCTGTGTTCATCTGTCTCGGATGATTGATTTATTTACCTTTTCCGTGCCAGGCAAGTTTTATTGAAGACATCCTGCAGGTTAACTAGTTGCAGGTGACTTTAGTTTGAGTGGCTTCTGCCCTTGGAGGGAGGTCTGTTGGGAGCCAAGGAGGCTGCATTTCATCCCCAGGCAGAGCTGCTGCGGGGTGGGTGCAGGTGAGCGGTGGCTTGGGGAAAGAGCTGAGGGAGATTGTGGGTGCCAGAAAGGGACTTTGGCTTCCCCAGATCAACTGAAGAGTCATATCACATCGATTCCTTACTAGCGCTATATTTTTACGAACACATACTCACACCAGGAAATGCCATCTCAAAATGTTTGCTCTGTATAGGTATACCTATAGAGAGATTTTTCCATAGAGGTACAATACAGTAATAATTTATGTAAAAGGCACGAGACACATTTTGAAGATGTAGTGCCTTTAATTCTATATGCTTTCCTATTGCAAGCTGATTTTTAAATTGGGAAACTTGGGAAAACCTTGTAAATGAGGCTGCCGGTTTATTTATTTATTTGTTTCGTTTCAGCTGAGACAGATGGGATTCTCGGATCATGCACTGTTAAGCCTTCCTTTGGAATTCTCGCCACTGTGGCCACAGAGCCCAGATGGTGCTTAAATCTGTCATTTTTTAACAACCCGACTTTCTTAATTTTATATCCAAACACATTGAGCATTCAAAGTGATTAATTACTGTCCAGATATGTCTGTGCTGCAGCAATTTACTCGCGTGTGCCAAAGATCATTTTGGTTTGGAGTAGGTAGTTTGGTGAGGGCTGAGTGGGTGGCGAGAGACTCACCAGCAGATACTGGACATGGGAGGTAGCAGCACGGTGCTGCTTGTATCGTCCTCTGACAGCAGTGGCTTAGCAAAAAGTTTCCATAAAGAAAACAGAATTTTGGTGCACGTGGATATTTTATAGCTCGCATGGGGGATTTTCACTATCACCATATAAGCTTCAGTCACACCAAATCTTCCATTTCCCATCAAAAGGGAGTTTTTCGATGCCTGACAAATACCCCCATTACCTTTTCAGGATCTTATGTCCAGACACCAGTGGCATGGCCAAGATAATAATGGCCAAGTATTTAGTAAGAGAAAGCTGAAGGGTTTTCTTCAAGAAGCAGACATTGGTCCAGAGGTTTCGAGAATTAAATGATGAAATTACAGTAATTCTTTAGAGTCAGATGTTTCTCTGCTGGCTTCTCCTCAATTTTTATTTTAAAGTGGTCATTCTTCTGGAAGAGTTTAAATACTATTTGCAAGTCCAACACTTGTGTTAATTTTCATGTTTGCAGCAGGCTGCTATCAGTTCCTCGTTTTTTTGAAATGAAGGAAGAAGCGATACTGCATGGTCCATGCAGCTCTAGCTCTAGCTTTGCTGCAGACATCAATATAGCCCATCAAAATCCTTGAACCGCTGCTGCTGTTCCCTTTGACCAAGCGCTGTTGCACAACCACTTGAAGGTTATTTTTGGATGTTACTGCATATTGTTTATTAGGTTATGTGGGTTTGGTGGAGGTGGAAGCGCAGCTTTCAAAAAACCAGGAGAAGTGGGAGCTCCCTCTGGTGTCCCTGGAGTCAACCAGGGTTTCTAGGGCTTTCCTCCCCTTTGCAAAGAAATTGTGGTGCTCATGCTATGTTAAACACTGGCAAAGCAAATGTCTAACTCTTTCCATTACTGGGGGATGCTGGGTAGCATCAGGCTCTGTCACTCCTTCTTCATACTGTGTTTCCACCTTGTAAAGTCTTAATTGTTAGCACCACTGTTTCATGTTTCACCCGTCATGCACAACGCCACTGAGGACCAGTTCATGGGAAATAAGAAGCCCAAGGTGCTCAAGACCAATTTGCACTTACCTGAGGAGTAGAAGTTCAGTGGTGATGAATTTTGGTTCTTCTTAAAAGCCTAGAGGAAGAACTATTCTTCACCACATTAACACACTTTAAAAGGAAAATTTACTTCTGGGAAAGAGATCTTTTTCTGCCACTTTCCTGGAGTCTGCTTGGAATCAGGTAAATGTACGTAATCAGACACCACTGGCCAAGTGTATGGTAGACGGTATTAAGGAGTACCTTCTACTAAAATGAAAATGTGCCTATTATGAAACACAGGCAGTATTCAAATAGTCAAAGTGTAGTGTTTGAAGGAGTGACTTATACAGTGGTAAGACTTAGCTAGATTTCATGTTTCCTTGAAAATAAGTGTCCTACTAGCTGCAGCACAGGACATGCTTGGAAATTTTGCTAATACATATATAGGTATTTATAAACTGAGTTTAGACAAACACATGTATAAAGTGAATTTGCAGCTATAATAAAGTGAATGTGTTATATTCATATTGATAAATGTGTGGGTGGGTGGGTGTATCATCAGTCTGAATGTTCCCATTTTTAAATACACTGTAGTTTCTATTATTTAACACACTGCTGTAGAAGGCTTTTATTCTGAGAGCACTACATCTTGGTACAGACATATCCCCTTGTTAAATTTCAGTTGAATTTAATTACTGTTAGTAATTACTGACTGGAGGTCACTGTTGCAAAACTGATAATTAATATTAAACAGCTAATGTACAGGATTAAAAGAATAAATGCTCTTTTGAGGAGGGAGGTGCCTCAGCACCAAACCCCAGTGCTGCGTCCCAGCACTGCTTCTGGAGCAGTGAACATCACCTCTTTCATGTACAATTTTTCCTCCTTGTGCTTATACCACAGTCTAGGAGGTCTCATAGTAATTATATGAAGTTGCAGCAGTGCTTTGACGTTTGCTTTTGGTTTATGATTTAATAAGGCAGGAGAAGGCTGAGCGGGCTCTGGTTTTTAGGAGGAGAGATTTATTGGCTTTCTGGGGCAGGGAGTTTGAGTCACTGTGTGTTTCCTCACTCTTACTGGTGATATTGGTATCTAGCATGACATTTTTCAGAAAGGCTAAGAGTGCTGTAGTTAGGAAGGGTTTTTTCTCTCCTTTCTGATTTGTACTCTACCATATACTAAGAGGTGTGTATGATGATACCTTCTATAGCATTGAAGCGTTCAGTTAATTTTTACATGTTATAAAACCTGAAGTTTATGTAAGAAGAACTGATAAGCCCTTAACCTGAGCCCCGCTATAAAAACTAACCACTGTGCATTGTTAGCATTAGATTAGAATAATCCTGGTTAGTATTTAATTTTTTTTTCTTTGACAAATAATTCACCTTGGTAGCAATTCTACAAGCTGTTAATAACAAGCATCATAAGTTTCCATTAAAATGGATCCTGGTGGTGTGGTGGGAGTTTATCCCTTCACTAAGGAGGTTCGGTTCTCTCCTCAGCTTGTTCCTGGCTATCGTAATACCTAAGTTTTGGTAGCCCATTAAATGCCTGTACTAAGCATCAGCAGTTACTTCCGCATCTCCTAGGTGCCCCTAAAACATAGTAATCAAAGTTTCTTAGGCAATGAAAGTGATAGTTTGGTAGCTTTTTTCACTCTCTTTTATTAAATGCAAATACAGGCAAAGTTACATCT